TCGCGTCCCCATCCCTGGAGGTATTTAAAAGATGTTTAGATGTGGTTCTTTGGGACATGGTTTAGTGGAGGGATGGCAGGGTTAGGTTAACGGTTCCGACTTGATGATCTTAAAGGTCTTTTCTAACCTAAATGATTCTATGATTCTATGGTGGGTGGTACATTCCGGGAGATCTTTCTGTATGGGTGTAACTGGGGTCTGTGATCTGCAGGAGGGGTCCCTCCTTGGAGGCACCCAGCTCGAGCTGCTCTGCATTTTGGATAAATAAACCACTTATATACTCAGCAGATTGGCGACTCGTCTTCTGCAGGCAGGACCCTAGGGCCGAGCCCTGCTGAGGTGGCCCCGTTTAATTCCTACCATGGCCTAGGTGGCGGCTCCATAATTCCTGAAACAACAAGCCCGGGGCATGCTTCTGCCCGATCACCAACTCAGGCACATGTGGCATCACGTGGAGCTTCAGAGCCACCAGTGACATCACAAGTACCAACACAGCAGGAGCTGCAAGGCCAGGTCCTGGCAGGGCAACGCTTCATGCTCATGGGATGGAGGGCATCCCTTTGCAGCTGGAGAGCAGCAGCCAGAGCAAGGGCATGCCTTCTTGGGGAGCACTGCAGAGCTGGCCGTCCTCATCCATCCCCTGTGGAGCCAGGGGGAGCAACCGTAAAAATGGGATTCAGGCATGTTGCAAAGGGTCCCAGGGCTTTAGAGCACTTTGGCATCCTACCAGGTGCAGGAAGGATTCTTGCTACCAGATTCAACCAGGCTGCAGGCATTTTGCCAGAAACAGAAGCCCACAAGATGGCTCCAGTTTGAGGAAGAAGAGGGGTTGGGCCTCTCTCACAGCCCAGGGTGAGCGCGTTCCAGTGGGGCCATCGGGATCCCTTTGGGAAAGGGGTTTCTTTCCAGGCTCTACTGAGATGAGGGTCAGAAGGTGCTCAAATCCATAGATCTTATGCCTTTTGCTATGCATCTCTATGTTCAAGGATACCTGTGCCTGGCTGCATTTATCGACACCCCCACCCTGGGGTACCTTTTTGGCACCCCTTGTTCACCAGTTCTGTGCCCCTGAGGCTGGCAGTGGCCCAGGTGGTGGCGGCAGCACTCGGTGATGGCCATGGCATAGCCGATCTCCAGGGTGCCTTGGAGGGTTTGTGTGCTGCTCAGGGTCCAGGGTCCCCCTGACCCCAGGAAGGCAGTTGGTGCCCCCCAGAGAGAAGGGGACCGGGCTGTCTGCACCCACAGGTGGCAGAGAAGTTTCTTCCTGGGGGCCCTGGCCAAGCAGAGAGGCTGGGCTGATGCCTGGGGCGCAGGAAGGGACATGGTCTGGGGGGGATCCCTGGGATCATCTCAGTGCCCCCTGAGGACATGGAAAGCCCTGGGGGTGGTGTGGGTTTGGGTGGTGTCAGGGCAGAGGAAGCTGCGGGCCTGGGGCTTTTCAGTGCGTGCTTGGCTGGGGAGGAGACGGTGTCCTGTGCAGGGCCTGGGGGCCTGGTGTGTGGGAGGGCATGGGCAGGGGCTGTTGGACTGGGGGGATGTGCCAAGGGCCTTGGGGGGCTGAATGGGCCTGGCGGGCG